GCAAAGAAGTGACAATCTTTGTATAACCCCTAAGAAGCCTAGCAGCAGGATCTTGCTCCAATACAAATAACCAAAACCAGGGGCTGGGGATGTGGCTCAAGCGGTAGCGCGCTCGCCTGGCATGCGTGCAGCCCGGGTTCGATCCTTAGCACCACATATAAACAAAGATGTTGTGTCCGCCGAAAACTAAAAAATAAATATTAAAAATTCTCTCTCTCTCTCCCTCTCTCTTTAAAAAAAAAAAAAACATAAATAACCAAAACCAGCCCTGTTGGAACTCAGCTGTGAAACCTCTCACAGAAAAGCTGGAGCTGTGCAGATTTTTTAGCAGATGGGGTCACCTACTATTTTGGAAATTAACTCTTCTGATTTCTTTTTGACTAAACTACCTATGTTCCTCTGGAGAAAAACCACTTTTCAGTTTTGCTTTATCTTTGCATCATGCTTTAGAGTTTATAGACAAGGGTAATGGGTGAGAGTTCCAGTAAGCTGCTTGGATCATATTTCTTAGATTGAGTCATTGCTGAGAAACTTGTTTGTGAACAGGAAGCAGGCACATGAAAATGTCCCTGTATAGTAACCTGCCACTCTGAGGAAACTGGACCACTCTAGTTGAAAGACACAAGAGGAGAAGGATAGTAATGGCTCTACAATCCAGGGAATGGCACACAGTGACCTTGCCTTTTAACTTATTGAATAATCTATCTCTTGGTGTGAATTCGGGAATTTTTATGTGGGTAAAATATCCCTAGCTAGCTGTTGAAGACTGAGGAAGAATTCCTGAGTAAGATTTCTTTACAAGGAAAATTTGGTTTAGTGGTAACTCTTAAGACCTATTAAGAATTCTGCTGATGTATTACAACTGGTTGCTAGATCAGTATTTTTTATAATTGTGCTATAATTAGAAATAAACAGAGCAACATTTCTACATAGCTTAGATGTCTTTTTGTCTCCAACATTCTCTTAATCTATATTTATAATCATTTAGATTATCTACAATTATTGTAGCAACACAAGCAAGAATTAGCAAATCAGTCTTGTAAAAACTCAAAAGTACTTGAATGTGGACAAACTACAAAGAATGACCTGCCATCTGTACTTTATCTTTTTTGATATTTTGGATGATCTAGAATTCTCACTAAGAAAACAATTAGCACTGCACTGCGTATCTTGTAATGCCATGAAGGACAGAAGCCCTAGAAAAGTATATAGGTACATAAATATTCGTGAAATATAATAGTCTTCAAAAGAAGCATTTTAAAACCACTTCTGCTTGGTATCATTTTAATAAGCATTAGGACTGTAAAGTAGAACCTTGTAAATTAGGATCTTTTTTGTTGTTTAATGAATTCCTCAAAATTCAGGCTTGCCCTAAATTTTCTTTTCTTTGGGTGGGGTGGGACAGGTACCAGGGATTGAACTAAGGGGCACTAACCCACTGAGCCCTATTTTGTGTTTTATTTAGAGACAGGGTCTCACTCAGTTGCTTAGTGCTTTTGCTGAGGCAGGCTTTGAACTCATGATCCTCTTGTCTCAGCCGGCCCCCCAGCCACTGGGGCCCTCAATTGTTTTTGTGTAATTCATTCATACAATAGAGTATGATCCATGTTCTGTCTAGTTTTTTTTTAAAAAATAATTTGGGCAGTGTCTATGGGAAGAAAATACTAAGTCAGATTTAACTTTTAGGTGAATATTCACCTGGGCATAATATAAAAAAATGAAATGTGTAAAAGAAAAAACAAAGAGTAACTGAAGATGCTATCTAAATTCTGCTTTTAAAGTTAGCAGTAAGGATCTGTTTTCATTGTGTTTACTACATAATATGTACTTTTTTTTAGCACTTTATTAGTGAAATTCATTTTTTTTTTTTTTTTTTTTTTTGGTACTAGAGATTGAACATAGTGGTGCTTAACCACTGAGCTTCACCAGCCCTTTTAGTTATTTGAGACAGGGTCTCACTAAGTTGCTGAGACTGGACTCACAACCCTCCTGCCTCACCCTCCTGAGTAGCTGAGATTACAGATCACATGCATTTATTTTTAGAAGAAAAGAGTGCCACCACTTTCAGGTAAATTCTCCAAAGGAAATAGGATGTGAGCTTCATTTACACATGTGTAAAACATACCATTTTAGTTTTCAAATACCATTCCAGAGTTTCAGTTTATTGAATAGTTTTATTTAAGGATGGTGATCATGTTATTTGTGCCTTATCTTTTCTGATATTTTGGATGACCTGAACATGATAAATGCTGATTTGTTCAAAGTACTAAAATTGGCTTGCAGAAAACATTTTTTTTCAAGGCCTTTCTTATTTGTTTATCCTAGTACAAAATAATTTCCCATAAAACCTGTGAAAGATTATACAGATGGCAAATGATGATGAATACATTTTAAACATTAATATTTCCATTAGGCCAGATGGTGATTTACCATAAATTGTCCAACAATTGTGTTTCTTATTGTCTTCTTTTATGTAAGCCACACTTGAAACATAATTTACAACACACTCAAATTCACAAAAGAACAACAAAAATTCAGACTCTTTAAGTGGCAAACAGGATTTGCTCCATATGCCACATGAAGGCTTATAGCCAGCACTTCTGTGGCCCTTGGGAAGCTTTTTCATCAGTTTTAAGGAAATAACACTGTGGCTATCCTCCTCTGGGCCTTGTTAGGAGGTCAGGAACTTGTACTTCTTCAATCTTAGGCTTCTGTGCAGAAGAGCAATTTTAGTTCTTCCTCAGTCCTCGTTTGTTACGGGCTCCACCCTGACAATTATTTCTTTTTAGACGATGTGCAAGTTTTGCAGAGATGGGTCGTTTGTGCAGTTAGTCATGTGCCTGGTCACACGGCTTCTCACAGGAAATGCTCACTACCTATTTGGTCAGCACAGAGCACAGCACTGAGCCTGTGGGTCTTCCCAGTAGCAGTGTGGGCTAATAAACTCCTGTTCTTATTCAATGTAAAACTTTCAGTGTTTCATGCAATAGCAAATCTACAAGCATTTTCCTTCTGAAACATGTGAAAATTAGAGTAACAGCATGACGTATTAAGGATGGGAGGAGAAAATCACTGTTGCTGCATTCTAAACTGGGTTAGAACATCTGTTTTTAGGAAACCAAAAGTAATTGCTTTAAAATTAAGCTTTAATTTTTTTTCTTCCTCTAGAGACCTCTCATAGCATAACTACAAAGTCAAAAACACAGAGGAAAACCTCTTAGAACACTTTGATGACATCTGTGTGGGTGCCATTATAATCCCTACCCTAATGAACATAATGTTTGTTCTTTGAAAACCTTTTGGTTGCCTTCATAGTGGAGATGGAAAGCTAGGACTATGAGAGCTGCTCAGCCTCCCAGGATCTACCACTGTTTCAGATCATTGCCCGCAACAGGATGTTCTAAAGCTGACCCAAATGATGCTGTTGTATTTTTCCTGTTGATAAGCATCCATCAAGTTGTCCTTTTCTGAATGTGTATGGGAAATTAAAAATAAAAGCATACTGAATAAATTTGGAGTGCACTGAAAGGTAGTCATAGCAGGAATTGAGTGGCAGAACTGTTTGTGGAAAAGGTATATATAAATGTACATGGGGTCCCCACTACCCAACACCAGAGTCACCAAAAATAACATTCACCAACACATCATCATCCAATTTGCTTCATGTTAAGATGCCTCCATCATTTTTACTTACATGTTGCACATGTTTAGTAATCAATTTCAGACCTGCCCTGAGGAAGGATCAAGCAGCTTCACTGCTTCAAAGATACTATACATAGTTTTGGGAAAAGTTAAATTGTTCATTTTGTCCATTTAGACAGCCCTAATGTTATTCCAGGCTCCCATTAGATAGGTCCCCAGCTTCATTATTATCTATTGACCTGGAGTCCAAAGTAGTAGAGCCCATTGCTATCAACATATATAACAACATTTGTACATTTTATACTTTAATGCATGATAAAATAATATTAATCATAACTAAAACCAGTTGAAACTTGTAGACATCTGGTAGAAGGGTGAAGTGGGCAAAAGAAATAATAGGGGGGTAAATCAATTCTTGGTGTGATCGCCACTGTGCTGTCTCCAGGTCAGGTGACCTGATCCTGCTGTGTGGGGTAAAAATAGTCTCAAGTGTTCACTGAGGAAGCAGCCATGTTATATTTTTGTCCTTTCAAGTAGAGCTCTAGACCTCTACTGGGCAGGCAAGCTGACACAGCCAGCCCTAAGCAGAACTGAGGCCTTTAGGGCCCCAGTTCCTATTGCTCAGGGCTTCGCTTTTCCATTCTCAATTTCACTTTGATATAGGTAATTCATTAAATGAAGCTGCTATAAATTTTCTGTTTGGACATTTTCCCCAAACTAAAGTTATAAATCAGAAAAACTGCTTTTGATACATTTTTCATTAGGAAAAAGTGTGTTACTAATTCAAAATAACTATCCCATTTGTAAGATTGTTCCCAATCTTAAAACTTATTCATTGTAACAACAAAACCCACTAGTGTGTACAACTATAATATACCAATAACAAAAATGTGGGAGAAAAAAGGTACCATCAATCTTTCTTGTAGAGCAGTATTTTTTTTGCTTTGTTTCTTAAAAAGTTAATTAGGGGCTGAGTGGTAGAACATGTTTATTAGTATGTACAAGATCCAGGGTTCACTCCCTAGCCACCACCCCCACCACACATAGTATTTAGAATTTCTCAGGAAGGAGGCTAGCAGGCAGTCAATACCCCTTTCCCAACTTTTCTGTAGGCAAAAGGTAACCCTTTCCCCTTTAGTCCTCTCTACACCTTACCAGTGATTCAACCTGTCATTAGATGGCATAGGTTGGTTGTTTTAGTGAATAGGTTCATTGAGTCAAAAGTAACTGCTTTCCTAGAACACTGGATCTTGTGTTCTCACTTTTGTAATCTCCCCCACCATCAACCATGGCATACTGTGAATTAACCTATGTGGACCATCTTAACCATGATCTCTCCTTTTCTGCTTTAAACATAGGACATGGATTTGATTGACATCCTTTGGAGGCAAGATATAGATCTTGGGGTAAGTCGAGACGTATTTGACTTCAGTCAGCGACAGAAGGAGTATGAGCTGGAAAAACAGAAAAAACTTGAAAAGGAAAGACAAGAACAACTCCAAAAGGAGCAAGAGAAGGCCTTTTTTGCTCAGTTACAACTAGATGAAGAGACAGGTGAATGTCTCCCAATTCAGCCAGCCCAGCACACCCAGTCAGAAACCAGTGGATCTGCAAACTACTCCCAGGTACAGAAAAAGTTGGGGGGAAAGTATATGGCAGGGTTTAAGGGAAGAAACATGACCGAGGAATGAAAATATTTGGATTTGAGTTCCAGCTCTGCCTTTATGTTTTTGTAACATGTCACATTAACTTTCAAACCACAGCCTTCTGATAAATTCAATACTTAACCTGTTGTAAGATTAGTAGGACATAAATCACATGAAAGAACTTTGTACATAAAGAAACATCCCCCTAGGGTCAAATAACAATGGAAGTACTGGCAGTACTAAAACTAGCCATAGTCATTGCTTACGGTATTAGGGCAAATAATGTTCTATATAAGTGAAGAATATTCACATTTTTATCTGAAGCTCAAAAAAGGTTAAACATTTGCCTAGATCACTTAAAAAATTAGGGGAAGGCTAAGGGTGTAATCAGTGGTAGGGTGCCTGTCTAGCATTTGGGAGGCCCTGGGTTCAATCCCTATCACCACTACCAAAAACAAAACAAAAATGAGGGAGTTAAGATTTGAATCCAGGTAGTCTGGTTTGAGTCTGTGTATCAAACTGATTTCTGAACTAAGCAATTAACTAGACTGTAAACATTTTATGAACATTAATCATGAATATTTAGCTTGACAATGGAACATTTAACAATTTTTTTCTTCCTTTATGCCTTTCCCTTTTTAATCCAGGTTGCCCACATTCCCAAACCAGATGCTCTGTACTTCGATGACTGTATGCAGCTTTTGGCAGAGACATTCCCATTTGTAGATGACAATGAGGTATAAAACATTTGGTTAACAGCAAAACTCCATAAATAAGTCCTTTCAATGTGTATTCATTTAAAAGAAATTGGGGTCAGAAGTTGGTAAATAGAAGTACAGAACTGCAGCTCAGCTCATTCTATTTGTATGATAGTGCCTTGGAGACTGCTTATCCACTGTTGGTGACATACTCATGTAGATAAATAAATGCTTTGTCAATTTTAGGTTTCTTCAGCTACATTTCAGTCACTTGTTCCTGATATTCCCAGCCACATCGAGAGCCCAGTCTTCAATGCTCCTCCTCAGGCCCAGTCACCTGAAACTTCTCTTGATGGAGCCATGGCTGATGTAAACAACATCCAACAGGATATTGAGCAAGTTTGGCAGGAGCTATTTTCCATTCCAGAATTACAGGTAACTAAGATACAATGCAGTACTGAAGATGTACCATTAAATTAGTCATTCTGATTATTATTTATATGCCATCTATTCATAGGAAGGATTTGAAAATGCTTTTCAGTTAGTCATAAGAACTTCCCAGATTCACTTAACATGCACTTTGTTAATGGGCTGTTATAGATCAGATCTAACTCTTGAAAATAATACATACGCTTAGGTGTATACATCTATTGAAAATGGACATTAATCTCTGGATTATAGAACGGAAGTTGAGGTAATCTGGGCATGGTGGTGCAAGCCTTTAATTCCAGTGATTTCAGGAAGCTGAGTCTGGAGGATCACAAGTTTGAGGCCAACTTGGTCAACTTGGTGAGATCCAGTCTCAAAACAGATTTTAAAAGGGGCTGGAATGTAGCTCAGTGATAGCATGCTTACATAGCATGTGCAAGGCCCTGGGGTCAAACTGGGAAAAAACTTAATACTGGTTCATATAGTGTAAACTTCTTTTCCATGCAGTGTCTTAATATTGAAAATGATAAGCTGGTTGAGACTACCACCGTTCCAAGCCCAGAAGCCAAGCTGACAGAAATCGACAACAATTATTTCTACCCATCCATCCCCTCACTGGAGAAAGAAGTAGGGAACTGCAGTCCACATTTTCTGAATGCTTTTGAGGATTCCTTCAGCAGCATCCTCTCCACAGAAGATCCCAATCAGTTGACAGTGAATTCATTAAATTCAGATGCCACATTAAACACAGATTTTGGTGATGAATTTTATTCTGCTTTCATAGCAGAACCTAGTACCAGCAATAGCATGCCCTCCTCTGCTACTGTCAGTCACTCTCTCTCTGAACTTCTGTATGGGCCCATTGATGGTTCTGACCTATCACTCTGTAAAGCTTTCAACCAAAATCATCCTGAAAGCACAGCAGAATTCAATGATTCTGACTCTGGCATTTCACTGAACACAAGTCCTAGCATGGCATCACCAGAACATTCAGTGGAGTCTTCCATCTATGGAGACCCACCACCTGGCTTCAGTGATTCTGAAATGGAAGAGTTAGATAGTGCCCCTGGAAGTGTTAAACAGAATGCTCCCAAAACACAGCCAATACATTCTGGGGATACAGTGCAACCTCTGTCACCATCTCAAGTGCACAGTGCACCCGTGCATGATGCCTACAGTGAAAACACACCAAAGAAAGAAATGCCTTTAAGTCCTGGTCATAGAAAAACCCCATTCACAAAAGACAAACATTCAAGTCGCTTGGAGGCTCATCTCACCAGAGATGAGCTTAGGGCAAAAGCTCTCCATATCCCATTCCCTGTGGAAAAAATCATTAACCTTCCTGTTGATGACTTCAATGAAATGATGTCCAAAGAACAATTCAATGAAGCCCAACTTGCATTAATTCGAGATATACGTAGGAGGGGTAAAAATAAAGTGGCTGCTCAAAATTGCAGAAAAAGAAAACTGGAAAATATAGTAGAACTGGAGCAGGATTTAGGTCATTTAAAAGATGAAAAAGAAAAATTACTTAAAGAAAAAGGAGAAAATGACAAAAGCCTCCATCTACTGAAAAAACAACTCAGCACTTTGTATCTTGAAGTCTTTAGCATGTTACGGGATGAAGATGGGAAACCTTATTCTCCTAGTGAATACTCTCTGCAACAAACAAGAGATGGCAATGTATTCCTTGTTCCCAAAAGTAAGAAGCCAGATGTTAAGAAAAACTAGGTTTGGGAGAATTTGACATTTTCTGAGCTAGTTTTTTTTTTTTTTTTTTTTTTTTTTTTTTTTTTTTTGTAATACTAAAAGCTCCTACTGTGATGTGAAATGCAGAAATATACTTTATAATTCTATGCAAAATTATAGCCAAAGCTAGTATAGAATATGAAATTTAAAAGCATTAAAATATCAGTACATTGAATCAGCGATTTCACTTTTAACTATAATTTCTTAGGACACCATTTGGGCTAGATTCTGCATAAGTGTAAATACTACAAAACTTATTTATACTGTTCTTATCTCATTTGTTACATTCATAGATTTATATGGCGATATGACATCTGGATAAAAGTAAATCGTTGCAAAACTAACCACTATGTACTTTTTTTTTTTTTTTTTTTTTTTTACAAATACTGTATGAACGAAAAAATGCATTTTTTTATATTCAATTGTTTAGCTCTGGCAAAAAGCAACTTTTAAGAGCTGATACTAATAAAGGAATATTACGACTGTTAAATAATTTTAGTTTATTCACAACATTTTCCATAAGACAATCATCTGATACACTTGGATGTTCTGTTTTTTCATGTTTTTTTATGACTTTAAAAAAATGTGGTACTAGGGTTATCAAGATAGTGGCAGTTCAACAGCAGCTGTATCTCAAACAAGGGAAAGTCAAAATTCCTGTACTCCTAGAATTTGCATTCTAGTACAGTAAGGATAGCAAACATAATTTATTATGTTAGAAAATAAAGGTAACAAAGGTCCTGCTGTCCAGTGATAGCCTGAGACAGGAGGATCACAAATTCAAGGCCAACCTGGTAAAAAATCTTGGGAATGTCAGCATTTGTGTTGCAACCTAAAACTACCTTGAGGTTGCAACATTTGAAGGTGTGGAAAAGCAAGAATTTTTGATAAAAGATGGAAAACATGGAGTAAGTCTAAAGGTCAAGAACTTGGGAGAGAACGCGTTGTGGCCAGAGAGGATGAGGGATGGAACACAAGCCTTGTAAGCCCTCACTTCAGCCTAAAAGCTTATTGGCCACAATAAGCAGGAATATATTCAAGCACTGATTGTGCCAACATCCTCTTAAGAGCAACTAAGTACTAGATTCTGCATCTCAAAAAAACTAGAGAGGAAAGGACTTTATTATAAATGGTATTGCCCAGGAATGGAGTAAACTAGAACACAGGTAAATGGGAACTGGCTCCCATTTGGACACCTTTGAATATTAGACATGGAGGCCTTACCAAGTCCTTTTAAAAATGCATTTTCAAATCATTCATCGCTTCCATTCAGCAACTGTATGTGATGTTAAGTATTTTTGACTCAGGAGACTCAAAGCAAGCATTAAATATCAATTACTCATTTAAAAGTTCTATTAATCCAGTCACATGTGGTGGTGCACACCTATGATTGCAAGTTCAAAGTCAGCCAGAGGCATTAAGCAACTCAGGTGAGATCCCTCTCTAAACCAAATGTAGGGCTGGGGTTGTCACTCAGCGGTTGGGTACCCGTGTTGAATCCCCAGTACCCAAATGAGTGTGAGTTCTATTAATCCACCAGGAGCAAGATAGTGTTCCACCACCTCTGGAACCAGATAATCCGAGTTGCTATTAGTTCCTGTAATGACCTCCAACCAACTTTCTTCAGCACTCAAGCTTGTTTTATCAGTTTTAGCTCACATTAAGCATATTATAGCTGGTGTTGTGAATACTTTTCTGATTCAGATGACTTAAGATCAGGATTGAAAATGACTTCAAGGAACAATAGATCTGGGATTCAAATACTGTATCCTGAATATTGTGCTGTCAATTTCCTCTGGTGGTTAGAGCAGTGGTGACTGAGGACGCCTAGGAGACCTTTCCAACCTCAAAACAGTATTCATTCTTACATGAAATTAAGTGGGGGTTCATGGCAAGAATGTTAGCAGCAGACCCATTTGGAGCGCCTGTAGTCAGTTGGTACTGTCTTCTTCCATTTAGCTGCATCCACTGAGTTCCAAAATACTTTCCCAGCTCATACAATATAACCATATTATAGTACCAAAATTATTTAAGTACTAATTCGATTGCAACTCATTTAAAATTTCTAGAACAAATCCTAAAACTTACTTGAACTATTCCTAAGTTCCATTCTGTAGTTTGAGAATGTATACCTTCTGAGGCATTAATGCCAATCATTGTTCTAGACATACTAGTTGCTTAACTTCATGTAAATGCCCTTTTCATTCTGAGATTTCTGAAGCCTGTTCCACTGATGTGCTAGGTGGGAGTGTGTTCAAATTTATCTCCTATGCCCCTATTTTTGCAATCAGGTCTTGGAACATAGGAATTCTTCCTATTTGAAGATACTGTCAGATCAGTTTGTTGATATGAATTAGTACTACTGAAGAACTGAGGAGGGAAAAAAAAAACCTAATTTTCAATCTCACATGAAAAAAAATGTCTTAGACACTGGCATACCTAGTCACCCATGAAAATTTCAGGCATGCTCAGTACAGATATATAGTTAAGGCAGGGTCAAACCAAGTGGCCAAGACTGGCTTTGAACTTAAATGCTCCTGCCTCAGCCTCTGTTGCTGAGACTCCAAGTGTACAACACCACATCTGGACAGAAAACACTTAGAATTGACAAAACCACAACATTCTTACAAACCAAAAGATAGACACTAGTTAAGCTCTTTAAGATCATTTTCATGTCATATTTCAGGATCGGTGTTATATTCCTTTTACATTAAAAAAAGCGCAGCAGTATATGAACACCCAAATAATTTCTCTAAGCTCATGATACTATCTAAAAATCTGATAAGCAAAACTTTATGTAAAAAACAAGACCAAAAACCCACTTTCAACACCTACTAAATGACAGATTAACTTCAAATATGCAGCCCATCAAACATTTACATTTGAAGGATATAAGGTTATACAAATGCAATGCATTAAAGATTGAAATTACCAAATTAAAAAAAAAAACTACCTGTGCTGTAACCTTCAGGTAGCCAGTTAACATTTGACAAAATTTTTTGACAAGTCCTTTAACAATTAAAATGAATGTAATGGCTATAATCGGTTTTTGCAAAACACCAGTCTTCAGAAAATAACAGTGATAGATGATCCAAATGTTATCTCCTGAATATTTTGCAGTTAATAAAATTTAATCTTATTGAGAAAATACATGCATTGTTGAATGTTATTTAGGGACTCAAGTATTAACATGAAATAAGGTACACAGTTTTTTAAATTACTTAACTGCAGAGAATATTAAACCATTGCACATGCTAGGAAACCATTGTGAACACAAGCAAAATGTGTTATAATTCTGCTACTAATGGCCACAAATCCTCATCGGACTTTTATTTACAAGGTATTTTACTTAAAAATGTACTGAGAAAATATCAACAGCTGTTAAAGCCAGAAAACCAAATTTGCAATGCTACTAAAAAAAATTTATCCCATACTATCAAGCCATACATAACCACATCCATTTCACTTTAACTCAGGTTAAAACTGCAGCAGTGTAGTTCAACACCAATTTTAAGGAAGGTTCTTTCCCCAACTTGCCCTCACCAGATATATTCAACTTACCAACTTCAAGAAAGACACTTTAACATCTGGGAATATTTCTGCTGCACCCAACCCCCTTTTCTCCCAGTTTGTTTGTTCACTGATTTACTTCCTTAATTAATCCTTTGTTCTCCCCCCAGGTTCAGATTTCTCACATCAACTTAAGTATCTCACTCTGTGACCTAAGTGAAACAGCAAGAATTGTGGCAATACATTTTTACCGTTTTTAAGAATACTTTCTTATATATCTACTTCCCAGTTATATTCCATTTAATAAAAATACACATCTTAGGGGCTGGGGATATGGCTCAGTTGGTACAGTGCTTACCTTGTTGCATGCACAAGGCCCTATGATCAATCCCCAGCACCACACACACACACAAACAACAAAAAACCCACATTTTTTAAAACAACTTTATATAAAAGGCTCATTTCATGTTTACTGTTTTATTACTAAAGTTATAACATTCACCTATAGCATTTAAGTTACATGAACATCATGAAGTGACGAAACACACACATTTCTAAAAATATTTTAATGAAAAATTTCTTTCTGTAAACATTTCATTATACTACAAATTAAACAGTTGAATCCATTACAGACCACCTCTGAAGTCTTAAAAATCAGAAAACATTGAAGCTTCAAAAGTAATTGTGATAAGCTAACAATCCTTACATTACCCCTGCACATTAGCATGCTTATTCACTACTTTGTGACATCAGTTACTGGAACTGCAAGAGATATTGTCATTAATTAAAAATATTCCTAATTGTGACTTTTACCAGAACTCTTAAAACCAAATTTATTTCTATTTAGTCCCTGAACAAATGGATTTTACCAAATATCTTTTCCCATAGGACAAGTTTAAGTAACCTCAGCTTTTAAGAAAGGAATAATCTGCAAGTTTAATATCAGTGTGAAGTTTGCCTCAACCATTTCCCATTTAGTTAACAATTTCCTTACTTTGTTTATTGGTGTTACAAGTTAAAGACAACATGGAGAGGCTGGGGTGTAGCTCAGTGGTAAAGCTCTTACCTATCATGCAGAAAAAAAGGCCCTGGGTTCCAACCCCAGCAACACCAAAAAAAAAAAAAAAAAGAGAGAGGGAGAGACAGACAATATGGAATTTCAGAAATGACAGTGGAACTACATTTTTAAAAAAGTCCTTTTATTTCATAAATGAACTGGAAAGAATGCTTTTAAAATGTTTCCTATCTTATTAAATTTGTTCTACTAAACCATGTTGTGAAGGAATTTTACCATTAAGAGGCTGTTACCTTTAACTCAATTCTATGAATTATTCTGTCCTAATTTCGATAAGAGCCAACCTTTTTTCTTAAACCTTATGGTAAACTCACTACTCCCATTCATGAAGGAAATCAACTCACATCTTAGAAACTAGTGTTTTGAGCAACTGTCCCCCTGATATTCTATTAAAAAGTAAATTAAACCTCAAGTTTTAACAAGCCCTATTGTGGCAGCAAAAAATAGCCCTTATGTACAATCAGCAACTGATCTGAATAGTAACCAAATAATTCTTTGGGAAAAGAGGTAATTTCATTTGTTTAATTAGGCCTCCACTGCGTCTAGCTAAGAGTAACGAGAATGAACAAAACCAAGCTTATCCTATTTGTTCAAATAATTCCCTGAATTTATATGCAAGAGAACTTATACATGAGGCCACCTGAATGAAGAAAACCATACCACCTGGTAATGCTGTAAATTCATTTGAAGGTATTTTTCCTGGCGTGAGGATTGACAACTTAACGCATCAGTCATGTATGTTACAAAAACTGTTTCCACAGAAGTATTTTCCCTTACCAAAAACTGACTTGAACCTAAAGATATTAATGAATTGTATACATGAAGGGGCCACATCTGCATGAAGATGAACACTTGTGGCCATTTCAGAATTTTAAAAATTGTCCTAGGTTTAACACATGTTGAACGTGGTACCAAGTTTTCAGCTTTGTAATTTTGCCAATGTACCTACTAGAAAGGGGATGAAATCTCAAAATATGTAATATAGATTTGTAGGGAAATAAATGGTGTCATCAATTTTTACTGTGAGCTACAAACCTTACCCAGCCAGAAACCTTCGTATTTAAGATGGTAGGAAAGACATTCCTCATTTAGGCAAGTAGGGTTCTCATTCAACCTGCAAATCAAAAAGATTACTCTTACCTTGCTTTACAAAAAATTACTCTTTAATTAGTGAAAAAATTCAAATTCAAGCCTTACCTAATCCTTATTGCCCTTCCTTGCAGGTCTAAATGCTAGACCTAGTGACTGTGGCAACTATCTCTCATTGATGTTCCAAAAGGCGAAGAGCTCCTTCCTGCTACTTTCTTCGATATTTCAGTTGTAATAAGCAGATTTAACTAGCTTTTGGAAAGTTGCTTACTATCATCATAGTATCTTATGCCTTCACTTCTCAGTAGTTGAAGCTCTTGCTGCTGCCTTGTCATTCTTTATTTATGCTGACTTGTCCATACTCAAAAGGCTGCTGAAGTCCTGTCTTAGTCAGTTTCCTTTGATCCACACTGTGCTTAAAAAGCACATCTTAGGTCCTTTAAAGCTGGTTAAATCGCTCTCCTCATGGCTTACTTTTCCACACTGTTCACAAAAACTAAGCTAATACAACTTATAAACAGGTCACATACACAGATTTCACCTGCTTATAGGTTGCAAACATTGACTTACTGAAAATGTATTCACTATTGAACTAGTTCCAGAACATACAAAGTTCATTAACAGTACAATTAACCTCATATGCCATTAAAGGATACTGTCAAGGTTGTGTCAAACAATTTTTCACAAACATAAAAACAGAAAATGTTAATCTCCCCCATTCTTTCAACCTTTATTATGTGAATAAAAAAACTTGAGACAATTTAGCTCAATTTTAATAAAATGTTTCCCAAGCATTAGTTTGACCAGGTACCCAAGGTTTAAGTTATGAACATTGACAGTGTCCATTTATATAACCACACTTGAAGTTAAGGACTTAACCATTTTCTAATATTAGCCTATTTTCTACACTGCTTATTCACATATGCCCATTAACAAATGGAATGTTGTCTGTTACATTTATTGGTTTGTGAGTGTTTTCTGGAAAACTGCAGTATCTGTGAAGACCGATTTCCATGCTGGCATTGCATGCATCCAAATATTAATAATGCACAGAGGCACAGAATTAGAGCAACAAGAGAGCATATTCAAACACTAGCACGCCCCATTCCCCTTTTTATTGCTTGTTTTGCTTAGTACTTTTAAAACCAAGTAAAAATCTTGAATTCAATGTTCAACTACCAAAGAAGAACAACAGCAGGGCACATACTTAGGGCTTGAATGAAATTTTAAGCACTAGCTGGCGCAAAACAGTAAACATTGGTTTTTGTATATATGACCTTGTTATCATCTATAACTCTTCTCAATCATGGTCTTCCAAACAAATTGATAACTCACACCAACATAATTTAGGTTGAAATATACATAAAGAATAACAACGTGTTCTTTGGGAATTTAAGAAAAAACTCGGGCTATCCAAATTTGGAATTCAGGTCTTTGGGAAGTGAGAAGCTTGTACTAAGCAATTGTGCTACATTTCTGCTGCATTGAGTTATTTTCAACAATTATACCTAAACTACCCTTGGTTTTATTCAGCAAAATGTATAGGGCAAAATCAGGAAAGCATGCCAGCCAGTTGAGGGTTCAGTAGCATGATTTTTATTCTCTTGCTATGAAAGCTTTATCAAGGGGGGGGGAAATTAAACCAAGGAAAATAAATCAAGATATATGGGCCTCATGTGCTTTAAAAAGAAAACAAAACAGATACCCACTTATTTGCTCCAATGTAGCAGGCTTAGTGGACCTTATCTTAAAAAAGTTAACAATGTTTTTTTAAGCTGGGAGGGGGAGAACATCCACTACCCTTTTTCAGAATTTAAATAGAGGGCAGCAGGCATCCTTTACACCCAAAAACTATGGCAGCAGTTTAAATGTGACCAAGGYAAATGTAGAACGGAGATGTTCTAAACACAGCTAGGACTCGGCAAATCTAACACACTAAAATCATGATTACATTGTGAAAGAAAATGCACAAAAACCAAATAGGAATTTTGAGATATTTCATTTGAAGATAATCTTAGTGCTATTAAATTCACAAATACGCTAATTTAAATACCCAATCCTATTTATCTAAAACACACATTTCAAACATACAAATATCTATTCTCTCCACATGTCAGCGCCCATTCATATCATGGTTTGGAAATGGGGAGAATAGATTCCCCTTAAACTGCAAGTCAGCAGGTGTTTCTTTACAGTTAACTTTAGCAAAATTCATACAAAATAGTAATTAACAATGATCTTCTTTACTGTTAACTCACAAGGAAACACCTTCAAAACTGCATTTTGTTAAAGTTTCTGTACTAAAATGTAGAAAAACTGAACTACACAAATATTGAAAAGTTAAAAATTCCTTAATTTTTTATTCCTGGTACCACTACCACAATTTACAGGGCAATATACCTGATGTAATGAAAAGAAAAAGAAAAAGACAAAGCTACAACAGATAAAAGACCTCAGGAATGTACATCTAATTGACACTACATTGCATTAATCAATAGCTGCACTTTTTGCAAACTGTGGCTATGACAGTCCTGAACAAGAAGGGTTTCCTGTTTAAGCTGCAGTAACTTTTCTGACTATGGATCATCGTTCCTTCTGTGGCAGATTTTTACAGTTCCTCTAATGCATTTGGGACGACTGTCTCAAAGTAACCTGCAGCTTTCCTGACAACTCCTCGCTCTCTCTCCTGCTAAGAACTGTAGCCTGTTGAATAATACAGGATAAAAAAATTATTACACTCAGTGAACAGTTCCACATATTCTTTATCATCATGATAAAAACTTAAAGATACCTACCCTTTTCTGCTGTTTTTAAAACCTTCTGCTACCATATCCACCACTTCCACCACCAGATCCATAACCACCTGAAAATACACATGTAGAATTTTCAAATATATGTAAAATTTTAAATTAAAGTAGTTCTGAAAAGACTTTTTATATAAAGTATATTTACCACCATAGGGACTGCCAGAGCTTCTTCCACCAAAACTGCCCCCCTTCATGGGTCCATAATTTGATTGCTGTTGTCCACTGTAATTTCCAAAGTCATTATAGTTCCCACCACCACCAATAGTTACCACCACCAAAATTTCCTCCTTCATTGTAACCATCATATCCTCCTCCACCACCATATCCACCACCTTGGTTTCCATATCCTGGTCCACCACCACCATAACCTCCTCTACTACTATAACCAGGACCACCACCATAGTTGCCACCTAAAAAGATAAAATAAGGCCACACAAAATAATCACAATTGATGGTCAAGGTATTGAATTCAGGTTTTACATTACAGTTAAGTCACTGGCCAACAAACCAATGAATAAACACTAAAACCTGGCAATACCTGGTTAATAGTGCAGCAACAATCTGGGCTAGTAAGAATTAAGATGAATACTTAGTTACTTCTTGAAATGAAAACTGTTTTCATTTTTTTAAATTTCACTTAAAAAAATTTCAGGGAAAAGTTTCACTAAAATTCTATCTCAACTGTCATGTACAATACATCTTACTGGCCAAAAGGAACATAATGTTTAATGTCCAAGAAAAAATGTTTTTCTATGGCACTAGTCTAAAAATACAATTTAATAATCAATCCATTTAAGTCATGACTAAAATTACACAGTATAACATTTTAAATACATTTTAAAGAAGGTAGAGAAACAAAATCAAGATATTAGACATTAAAAGACAAATAAAAACTTACCATCACCTCCAAATCCATTATATCCACCATCACCTCCTCCATAACTACCTCTGCTGCCACCACCTCCACCACCATAGCCTCCTGAGGAAATGTAAGATTTGACTTAAATTATGTATTTAATTTCTATTAAATTTCAGATACACATGTAATTAATGTTAGTAAGTATACCCTTACCTCTTCCACCAAAGTTTCCACCACGGCCAAAGTTACCTCCACCACCTCCAAAGTTTCCTCCACGACCCATAAAGTTGCCAGATCCACCTCCACGACCTTCAACACAGGCAAAGAAGTTCTTTAAGAACCTAACAAAAACCCCTCACATTTACTGAGTATGTATATATGATCCTACTTACCTCTCTGTGATCCAGCAGACTGCATCTCTTGTTTAGAAAGGGCCTTTTTCACTTCACAATTATGCCCATTAATAGTGTGGTATTTCTGAACTAATTTTTTAATCAAACAAACAAAAAAAGTTATTTTATGTTTGGCAAATCATATGTAAACGATATCCTGTGTCATTTTGTAATTCATTAAAACATTGCCAAGAAGGTAGTTGACTGAATGGGGATGAGGGAGCATTCTGGGATGTAAAAATAGTTCTTGATTATCATGCTTGTTACACAAGCATGTAGGTGTAGGTGCTTCATGAAAAGTGAACTGTACATCTCATAGGCTATTCAACACAAGATTACAGCAATTTAGCAAAGTTAGTTCACAGAAGAAACCATTCGTTTCCTCAAATTCCAATAAATTGTTACTTACCAACAATTTTGTCAACTGTATCATGATCATCAAAAGTTACAAAAGCAAATCCTCTCTTTTTTCCACTCTGCCTGTCTTCCATAACTTCTATGGTTTCAATCTTGCCATACTTTTCAAAATAATCTCTCAAATTATATTCTTCTGTATCTTCTTTAATACCACCAACAAAAATTTTCTTCACTGTTAGATGGGCACCAGGCTTTACAGAATCCTACAAATAAAATAATAGGTTTAGTCAAAAAAACCAAACTTTCACAACTTCACATATTACAAAACATGTTATTATTAAAATACCTCTCTAGAAACAGCTCTCTTTGGTTCCACTACTCGCCCATCAACCTTGTGTGGCCGAGCACACATTGCTGCATCCACCTCTTCAACACAAGAGTAAGTCACAAAACCAAAGCCCCTGGAACGTTTTGTTTGGGGGTCTCTCATTACCTACAAAATAAAAATTTGAAAACACTGAAATATACCTTCACAGGCCCTCTACCCTCCCTTTCCTAAACCTTTGTTTCCCTAGTAACTTACCACACAATCTGTGAGTGTGCCCCATTTCTCAAAATGTTCCCTTAAACTATCCTCTGGAGTTTCAAAGCTCAGACCACCAATAAACAGCTTCCTCAATTGCTCTGGTTCCTTTGGATCGTGGCCCTGAGAAAGTCAATATTTTAATTACTTCTTGCAAAAAGCTAATTTTTTAAAAGTTCAAATCTTTAATCTACAAAGTAGTAAAAACAAACACCTGTAATATTTGGTTCAGTTAAAAAGTCTGACTAAAATGATAGCAAGGAAATCAGCCTTTCAAATACAAAATCACTTCAACTAAATTAAGTCATGAAGTCCAAGACGACACATCCAGAACCCAAAATTCCTTAACTTTAAGCTACAACTGTTAGGTTATTTAGAAGTTGCCAATGAGAAGTCATTTTCTGTAAACCTGAAGTGTTGGAGAAACTGTCCAATCCATGCCATTTCAAATATTCAGTCAGCATTTAATTTTTAACCACAAAACTGTGTAATACAACTTTGAAAGTTGCAAACGGCAATTTAGAGAAAGCCATCTGTTTCATGAAAATCGGTATTAAAACAGGCACCTCCCAAAACCTTAGAAAAAAACCCACCACGTATCTTTCTGCAACCAGTTTGTTATACAGTGCAAAAACTATGCATTTGCATCATCACAACAATAAATGATTTAAAAAAAAAAAATCTTTAGTGTGACAACAAACTGTTACGGTAAGTATATAAACTGGAGCACAAAACATACTGAGAGTTTAAAAAAAAAAATTAAGATGTGGCCCGACTTTGTTTTAAAGACTTAAGGAATTACACGAAATGTCATTTAACGCATGCACTCACAATCACATCCTAATGTTTTCTAGAAGACAAGGTATTTTAAAGTGAAGAGGTTGTCACATGCTAAAAAAAAAAAAAATGTTAAGTGACTAATACCCTAATGCACTAATTTACTGACAATTTTCTCAAGTCTTTAATACATTTGATTTGATAACATATTAAGTCCACAAAAAAAATCAAAACTCAAATAACCGAAAACACATGAACTTAACTGCACTTGCAGTCCTCTAAAACAAAAACTCAGAAAAACTACAACTAGAATCAACCCAAAGAGAAAAACGGTATCAAAAAATGTAAATTCCTATTTAACATCTACTCTCAAATCCTCCAAAGTACTGCATCCACATGGCGATTTAAGTAGTTATACTTTGTTTAGCAAAATTAGCAGATTGAAAAGAATTTTAAAGCAGCGAACTTTTCAGATATCTCGTTATCTCCAATTTGATACTGCGAAGAACAGGCCAGAGAATTAATAAACTCTCGTCGCCGAAGAGGACCTGTAAAAGCCTAGAAAATTGCCGGCAGAACTTCAGCGAAAGCACTGCGCCCCGAACCTCGAAGCCATCTGCGGCATTTCTACCGGGCCGCCTCCTGACTGCTCCTCCAATCCCGCGCTCCTTCTCAGCGGCGCAGCGAGGCGGCGGCCATTGCGGGCCAATGCGCCATTTCGTAACGCGGCAGCGGATCAATGTCAATGTGGCCGCCGCCCGCCTGCTCGCTCGCCCGGATGTGCGGGCTCGTCCCCTCCCCCCACCGCCTCCTCCCAACCGCTCCTGCTGAGGCCCGCCATGCCGCTCTCGGCCTCGAATCCGAGGCCGCGCAGCCGGCGGACCGGTCGCCCGACCGAGGTCCCCCCAGCCACGCCTCGCCTCCGAGGGCCTCCACTTGTGCGGCCGAGTGAGGGCGAGGCAGGCGAGGGGCCCCGAGGAGGCTCCCAGGCCCGCTCCCCTCCCCCCTCCCACCGCTCGTCTCAACGCAGAGCGCGGGACGGCCAACCTGGTCCACCCGGCCTCCCCGCTCCCATCGAGCCAGGCCCCCCCCATGCCGGCCACTACCCGTCAACCCCCCACTCTCCCCCTAATACCTCCTCCCCCCGGCGGCGGCGGCGACGGCCGGAGTCGGGCTGGGGGCGACCGGGCGGCGGTTTTACCTCCATTTTGAGACCGGACTCGCCTCTTCCAACTCGAGTTCAATATGGGACCGAGAGGAAGAGGCGGGGCCAGCCGTCACGTGACGCCCTTTCCGCGCGCCGCCGGCTTGGTGGGGGAGGGGCGGCGTAAGAAAGGGGCGGGGCCAAGCGGGAGAGAAGGGGGACTGGAGCAGAGGGTTGGCGGGAGGAGGGCGGGGGGCGGAGGCTCGGCGGAACGCGGGAGCGCGCGCGCCTTGCTAACTTCCAATGCAGCACAGCCCTTGCCGCCGTTCGCGCCCTGGCGATTGCCGGCACGTCAGCTCGGGCTGGGCCAATGGCGAGCGCCCACGTCGGGAGAATGCCTCGTGACCGCGCGTCACCGGAGAGAAAGGCCTTTCCTTTCTTCTTGCGCCTCTTTCCCCTCCCCCATGCAGGCTTCTCGGTCTCCATTTCCGAATTCATTCCAGTCCTGTGCCTGAACTAAAACCACTTGTTTCTATCCTACAATTTTAAGGTTTCAAGAAAGGCTCGACCCCCTCGAATCATCTTTCCAGCTTCCAAATGCTAGGGACCAATGTATATGACTGGCGACGCCCACATGAGAGGGCCTGTACTGAAAATCCATGCGACACTGACATGCATGAATCATGGGGCACCTTGGACGGGCCTCAAAATGCGGCTGATTTACTGAATTTTTATCCTTAACGACCTGAGTCAGGACTAATGGAGGTCAGTTCATTAGGTGCTCACTGATCTCAAGAATTGTCAGGCCTATTTTTTAATGTTTTTCTAGTTATCCAGGAAAGAACTGAAGCATGTGTTTTAAGGGACAGAATTTAGGGGCTTGTGAATGGCTTAAAAATTTCTAAAGGGGCACATTCACCAGACGTGCTACCTCTTGGCGAGTAATTTTTTTACTTTCATGTAGTCACGTTACCAGTTCTGTTATTCAGTGTAATGAATGAGATGAATTAGAGAGAAAACCAGAGATCTAATCCTTTTTCTGCCTAGCCAAGGGATTTTTAAATCATTTGATCTTAGCTTTAGTTTTCCTTTTTTTAATACTTATTTTTTAGTTGTATTTGAACACAAAACTTTATTTATTTATTTTTATGTGGTGCTGAGAATCAAACCCAGGGCCTCACACATGCTAGGGGACCTCCGCTCTACTGCTGAGCCATAACCCCAGCTCCTGATCTTAGCTTTAGTTTTTTGACTGAAAATAAGGATAGGATTGGGTGATCTCCCAACATCCATGACAGCCATAAATTAAATATAATAATATTTAAACAAAATTACAATTGACAAACCTCCCTTCCCTGCTAGGACATGCTTTATATTTTAATTCAGCAATCCACATGAACAATTCCTTTAGAATTGATCTGTCTCTCCCTTGAAAGATTAGAAGTCTAATCAGTTATATTGTGAATTGTTTGAAAAGAAAATTTGTGTTAAATGGGGAGTGGTCAGCTTGGAGTGTGGAAAAGATACATGAAAAGTGAAGAATTTACTGATATTTAGCATTGCCAAAGGAGAACATGCCTTGTATTTGGGAAACAAAGTTTATGTTGTGGGGCAAAAACCAGTCAGCAGACCTAAATGTAACTTGGATGAAATAACACCCCAAATGGCCTCCTCCTGTTGCTCTGATTTCAGAATTACAAGCAAACTTGTTTAAGTACAAGTACTCAGGTACTTCAGTAGCCAACAACAGCCTTGATGCATTGTAAAAATTTATAGTGTCTGGTTAATTCCAAGATTTTGTGAATTTCGTTACTATGAAATAATCTTGATAGCCTGATCAATTCCAGGTATGTAGAAAAATGCACTGTTAAAAGACCATAAGAAATGGCACAGTGGAAAGCTGAAGTAGGAGGATCACAAGTTCCAGGCCAGCCTGGGCAACTTGGCAAGACCATTCTTGAAATAAAAAGGGGCTGGGGATGTAACTCAGTGGTAGAGTGCCTCTGGGTTCAATCCCCAGTACCTACAAAAAAAATACAAAAAAAAATATTATAAAATGATGGAAGATGTTATCCACACTGAGCAATTCTATGAGACATTACAAGGGTGATAAAGGAGAATATTTACCTGGCTTTGCTGTAGGGCATGGGTGTCTGTATATTCTAAGTTATTTCTAATCAATAACTTGTATGTTGTGTGTTAACTTGAGAAACAGGATTACTAAATCATTCCATCTGGGAATAGTGTATGTTAGTCCATTTATTCAGGTGTTTGTCCTTTAATAAATGTGAATTTTTCCCTTTGGAATCATCCTGATTTACTATTCTTTTTGGGGAGTGGATTGAACTCAGGGGCAGTCGACCACTGAAAAACATCCCCAGCCCTATTTTGTATTTTATTTAGAGACGAGTCTCAGTGAGTTGCTTAGCGCCTTACTTTTGCTGAGGCTGGCTCTGAATTTTTGGCTCTTGCCTCAGCCTCCCTAACTGCTGGGATTACAGGCTTGCGCCACCACACCCTGCCAGATTTATTATTATTATTAACTGTAGGTGATTTTTAGGCACTGTCTATTTTTTATGCTTTAAGCTTGCCCTCTAGCCCTAAGATCATGTGGCATACAACCATCCATGGTCCAGTTCTTGATGCTGTAATATACAAACTTGAACCTTGGCTGCTATGTACCCTTGTATCCCTAGCTGTGTTTAAATGAGAGAGACAGAGTAAGCAAAAGCAGGGAATGAGGTTCCTGGGGTGGGATGGGTGGCAGAGGGCCTTATAATCTAGATCAAGGCCTCTCAACTTCTTTCATATGACACAGAAAATGATCATTTTTGTACAGCACACTAGGGTAAACTGAAAGAGATTTGGAGCCACCTAAATGATGGTTAAATTTATAACATTTTCTTTAAAGTTTATAATTTTGATAAAAAATGAAATACATAGTATTAGGGGAGATATTAAATATGGAATTGGCATAATACCTTAAAATAAGGATTTCCGTGTTTTTTAATGATGGATTTGAACTTGTTCCTGTTAATACATTTTGATATTAGGTTTTATGGCTGAAATGGCTTTATGCAGTTTTTGATCCAGACTTTTATGCTGAACTTCTCATATTCTGAATAGTCATTATCATTGAGGGACTCTGATCACATAAGTACGTAATAAAATATTTAAAACCATTTTATACAACCATTCAAAATTTACAATTATAATTATATTTAAAGGATGTAGCAACTCTTCTTTTATTGACAAATGTAATTTCATGTGATAATCAAATGGATTTCAAACCCAATAATACATTTTTATATCAAGATTTCTACATTGAAACATTAGCTTGAGAAATGTATGCATAGAAAACAGCTAGCTTGAATGCCATTAAAAGGACACTGCCTGCAAAGGTATAGAAATGACCATGGTATGTTAAGACAAATATTAAAGGCATTACCTAGAGCTGAACCCACCAGAAACTTTTCTCTGCTCAAGCTCCTCTCTCACGCCCTGACAGACTACCCTCTGGGCTGTGTGTGTTATATACCTTTGGCAACTAGATTATAAACTCATACATGGATAAGAGTTTCTGGTCCATGATAGGCAGTAGGATACTCTGCATATAATTGCCCACATGGCATACACTGCTCACAGACAATCAGAACTGCAAGTGCTGATTATTGACCATGGTGGCTATTGCTTACTTGGCACACACCCCAGACCACCCTGCATAAAATGCCCTGGGGAGTCCTAAATAAGGCAGTTCATGACTAGAGGTACTGACCCCAGGGGCCCTGGTTGCTTCTGACCTCCTTTGACTGCCCCATTGCAGGAAGGGTCAATTTCTCATATCCATTCAGGACATAAGCATGCCAAGGTCTGCTGGTTGAGAAACATTGTCTGGCTTGTGTGACTCATTTTATGAATGATGAATCTGTTATGCGGAGAAAGGAAGGAGTTGATTTTTCCAAGATATGGCAGAGTCAGAACAAAGAATGGTAATTGAATGAAATTATTTTGGACTGGAAGAAAGTAATTCTTAGAAAGGAAGAATTGTAATAAATCATAAACTTTGTTTTCTGCCTCTATATTCAAGATATGCCAACTGCTTTATTTTCTAAAATCTTGGTTTTTGAAAAGGAGTATGTAAAGTAAAAAAACAAAACACACAAAATAAAGATCTCTCCCCCTTACATCCTATTACAAAGATTTGACCTCTGTCAAAAACTGAAGTACATTTTCAGCCTAATCAATGTGTTAAGTATGTATGAAACACATTTGTTTCATTTTTACAAAAGTGRAAAAATCTACATCTAAAATTACCTTCTTTCTCCACCCTAAGTGATGGTAGGTGCTGGAAATTCATGATAGTCACTCACATTTTGAATACTACCATGTGCCCTGTACTGTGCTGACCATCTTATGTTCCTGATTTCATTTAATTCCCCTAACAACTTTAACAAGTAGGACCTATTATTATTTAGCTAAGAAAACTAGAGCTTAGGAAAGTTGAGTAAGTTGACAAAGGTCATAAAGGTCCTATGACTAAGGCACTGAATTAAAATATGTCATTTTAATATTCTTGAGGGTTGGTCACAACCTTTCCTTAAAAGACTTTCTGTCATGCCTCTGTCTTGCTTACTACTTTAAAAAAAAAAAAAAATCCTGTTTCCAGAGACGTCTACAGTTCCTGGCTATATAATAGGCAATTATTATGTTGTGAAGCTCATTTAAAATGAATGAATGCTAAATGAAAAATTTCAGTTCCCCTACAGAGCCCTAGAGAACCTACTGCGTAATTTGTAAAGCATAGTGCGAAAGGAAAATTCAAGACCCCTGTTCAAAATTAAGAATTTCAAGACTGATATCAGAGGATTAAGCTAAACCAGGACCCTTCCTGAAGTCAGGGCCCTGTGTGTCTACAAAGGTCACAAGCCCATGGAGCTAGCAGCAGTTTCCTTTGTAGTGCCCTGTCTAAAGCAGACTCTTAGTCTCTTGAGCAATTTATTCATTTACCATTTGGTGATTTACCTCTACTTCTTCATCAGAGACTCATTTCTTAAGTATTCATAATCTAGTTTCTGCCCTAGGCTGCAGAAATTCTTTCTTCAAGGTCACAAATGATTATCTAATTGTCAAA